GCTTCACCATCCTCCTCTCCTCTATCAGCTTCCAGGTATCCGTCGAGATCCATTCCTTGTCTTCTTTCTTCTTCCTTCCTAATACTGTTGTGCAGGTTTCTTTCCACATAGCTTTCAAAGACTTCCAGTGTTCTTCCACACAGGTTTCTTCAGGGATGTTCCTCGATATCTCCCATTTTGTCTTGATGGCTGCCTCGAAGATCTCCTTTGTAGTTTCATCCTTCAGTTTCCGAGTGTTGTACTTGAATTGAGGTCTATCACCAGCTTCCTTGAAGGCTTTTAACTTGATTTGGAAGGTTCCTTGCACTAGATAGTGGTCTGAACCTACATCTGCTCCTCTTCTTGACCTTGTGTTAAGTAGACTGCGTCTCCATTTTCTTGAGATTGAGATAAAGTCGATTTGATTTTTAGTGTGTCCATCTGGTGAAGTCCATGTCGCTTTGTGGATATCCTTGTGCCTGAACACACTGCCTCCAATCACCAAATCGTTGAATGCACAGAATTCTGCAAACAATTCTCCATTCTCATTCATTTCACCTAGCGCCTCTCGACCCATGGTTAGTTCTCTTCCCGTGTTGTCCCCTCCCAGTTTGGCATTCATGTCGCCCATTAGAATTTTGATATCGCCAACTGACGTCTTGTCCAGTGTTGATTGAAGTTGTCTGTAGAATTCCTCCTTTTTCTCTTGCTCTGCATTATTTGTAGGTGCATAACATTGTATGATTGTGACCTTTCTTCCTTTTGAGTTGAATCTTGCTGTCATGATCCTGGAGGAGATTGGTTCCCACTGCATGAGAGCCTTCGATGCTCTTGAGGACATCATGATAGCCACTCCCTCAGTGTGCTCGTGGTTGGCGTCTGGGTGACCGGAGTAGATTATTGATTCTCCAGTTGACAGTTTGGAGAGTCCACTCCCATTCCATCTGCTTTCGCAAATCCCAAGCACTTCGATGTTATACCTTCTCATCTCCTTTGCAATCTGGGCTGCCTTACTGGGTTCAAACATCGTGCGGACATTCCATGTCCCCACGTTTACTTTCGCTTTCATCGAGAGAAGACACATCGGCCAATTGGCTTCCCGAAGGCTTTCACCAACTGGCGTCATTTCGCCTCTCCGATTCCAGCGGGGAATAAGTTTGTTTTCATTTTTTATATTTTGTTTGTGCTTTGAAGTTTCTTTAGCGGTTAGATTTGTTTTACGGGGTAGGGTTGCTAGCCCTATGCCCAACCTTCCCTCTTTACCCGGGCTTAGGACCGGCTAGTAACTAGTAAACTAGTTAATTAGGCGAGGTTAAGCCCCCAGGGGAGGAGATCTAGCTGGTCCAGCCCGGGTTGTTGTTGATGCTTTAATTAAAATAGGCATTTGTTTACCAAAGAATGATGGTTTTTTATATTCAGTGTCTTAAAAGTCCTCTTCCTTGTGTCAGTGTGACTGGCATCACACAGTCTACAAGTGTATGAAAATACAAGTTATTTTGGCAGTGTCTTTCTGAAATCACACTTCATTTCAGTATTCTTAAATGTAGTACGTTGATTCTAAACAAATAGTCGAAATAATGAAGCTTAGTTAGCTCTCAGGTAGATAATCGTGGTTGTACTGCGTTCTCTGAGTTGGATGGTCTAGTTCTGATGCTGACATTGTTTTTCTAGACGAAATAATTAGCAATAACTTCATTAAGTGAGATATCACGATTCCTGCATTAAGGATTCCGTAGTTTGCCCTGACGAATTGATGGGTAATTGATAGTTTCTGTCGATTATTGTGTCACTGAAAGCACACATTTTCCTGTTGACTATTTATCTACCTAACTTCTGACCTTGTAGTCGTATTATACCAGTCTATTTCTAGATACTCGGCATTCAGGTCAGTTGTTTGTTTATACGTGGTAGGTTGTTTATTGTGTAACATGATATCCCGTTTTTGTACTGTTTAAAGAGACGGTCACTGGGACTTAATTTGTAGCTTAAGAAGCTTTAAGTCAACAGTAAACATTACAATGATCAATTTATCCAACCGTTTTCAAGTGTAAAATTTCTTTAGCAGTACACACGTTTTCTTCAGCTTCACTGCTGAAGTGGATGTTGGATGGTTATACATTTGCGGTAAAAAGTCATGGACGGAAATTTCGTATTTGCTGGGGCTCATTAGGCTGATGTATCTATAATCTTGAGGAAGCTTGTGCTTCAGAAACGTTGCCACAGAAAATTTGAAGCCACTGTTTAGATAATGTTTTGGTTTGAAATGGTGCTGTTGTAATATGATTGCAGAATGCATCAAGTTGTTCCCTGTCCCAGCAATACACGACTGGTAACTTGGACAGGACCAAAAAGAGCTAACGAATTTATTGGTCGCTACAGGTTGGATCGGAAATATACTAAAAGTACCTGGTATTTGTACCATTACCTAAAGCATCGATGAAAATCGTTGATAAGGTGATTTCTAGTTAGTTGATAATCAGGTTAGTATTCATCACGGACTGACATCATCTGGAGGACCGTCGTAAACTTAGGAGCACTGGTCAGCTGTTTCATCCCAGGATGGGACTTCTCAACTGTGGACCCACATGACCCTGCCAGGGATCAAGTCCAGGACCTTCAGGTTCTGTGGCGAGCATGTCACCACCACCAATGGTCGACATTTTCCTACCTCTATCGACTTGCGATTTAGCATGAATTTCATCGAGATGAGGTTTCCAGAAGTTCCAATGAGAGTTCGTGACCGATGGAGCAAACGAAGTCGAACCTTGGACAATTACTCACCCACGACATTGAAAGGTACGCTATATAGCGAACTGACAGAAGTAAGAAAATGTGAACCATTAAATTCCCACCCAGTGTCTGAATGATAACATGCTGACCGTAGAGCCTGAAGGCCCCGTGTTCGACCCCTGGCCAGCCGTGGGTGCACACTGCTGAAAAGTCCCATACTAGGACAAAATAGCTGTCCGGTCCTATCAGGTTTTCAGTGGTTTTGAAAATGCTATCACTTCATGATGAATACCAACTTGAAATCGATAAATCCCCGTAAACCTCCGAACTGAATTAATTGACTATCGAAGAATTGGTATGTCACATTAAGAATTCTGTCGAGTTGATCTGTTTATAGGAAAATGTATTTTCCAACAATAAAATGACACCATTTAACGTGTAGTAAATTTTGTGAGAAGTAATCGTACTTTCCTTCAGATGACTGCTTCTGACTATCCAACACCAATTAATATACGTAATTATGGCCATATTCCTACCTAGCTCGATGAGCACATTGCAAACTTAGTCAGTAGATCCTGATCATCACCGGTGACCAGACAATGTGATATTGGTTACTCTTCAGCGATCTATTACCGTACGATCGAGATTTTTAGAAAGTGACCTAATCAATTTTGTTTTTATGCTAGGCAACTAACAATAGAGTCCTAGCTCAATGCGAACAGTAAATACTCCGCTTAGTTCCTGGCACGTGAAATAGTCGATACGCATGCCAAGCGACAGTGTCCTTATTGCCATAACAAAAATAAGAACCAACCAATGAAATCATGTAAATTCAAACAACAACGATGATAAGTTATATCAGTGTTGGACAAACAATGACGATAGTTTCGCTATTACCAGTATGATTCGTACTTTTTCATTTGCGCAGAAGTACATCCGTATATAAAACAGTCACGTCTTAGTCTAGATATATTCCTATGTTCATTTCTTCGTGTTGTTCATAGATATTTATTTGAGATTCCCTGATTATATGTCAAGTTACAGAGAGTTATCATTTCAGCCAGCCTTAAATTTTCAAGGGAGATGATATTGTTTTGTTTTTTTATTAGTCTGATTACTTTTTCAGAAATGAAAGCTTTAAGTGCCGGTAATGAAAAAAGAGGAAATATCATAAGACTAAATCGAGGATTGTTTTTACACTGACTTGGAATACTCGCTGTTATTTAGTCAATTGTCTTCATTTTTTTCCCTACCCTGTGGATTACTTGTCACGGAGTTTTTTTCAGCTGGTTTTTTATTTATATCATTTGACTGATTTAGTCTTCAGGACGCTTTCGGGAAATGTCCAAGCACCTCTGACATGAATTGGATATTTATCAAATTCAGCTTGATACTTGAAACGAGTCTGTGGTTTATGCTTAGGTTCAATACTCAAGATGACCAGTTTATTTATGTGATCACAGAATCAGTAAGTTCTATCGAGTTACAGAACTCATAAACGAAATGTCTTTGGTGGACCAAATATGCAACACAGCAATGTGCTGTTCTATTATTGTATGTTTAGTCAGTCAATAAACTAATTTCAAATACTAACCTGATACCTTTTCACTTAAAATGACTTTTTGACAGGTGGATTCTAATCCCTATTGTGTTGTAGGCCTATGGCATTAATTTATAAATTTGTTATACTTGTAATTGTTATGGTTGTGGTTGGTTACTTTATACAGTCTTGCCTTTCTGCTGTTCATAATCCATAGAACCAACTAGTGACAGATTTCTTACTTTCATTTCCGTATTAAGAAAAGACAAGTGGTTGTTATTCCCTTTTAATACATAACATTAAAAAGCATATAGCACACGTGTAGGTTAAACTTTTGGAAAAAGCAATTATTGACGAATCTTCAGAAAATCATTTTGTCCAAAGAAAAGTGAGTAATATGCTTTTAATTTAGTGAGACGTTGGCGCTGAGCAGTAAATGATGAGATAGTAGATAGTGCCAAAAGTCAACTAACTGACGGAAGCCATTATAGATATGAACCATTACAGGAGAAAAGTCAACGACACACAAATGTATCTGTTATGCATTAAAGCAGTGTTTACTTATTCGCGTACTATTTAATTGTCAAAACAAATGAACAAACCATTTATTGTCAACCAGTAGTTTTTATTTTTACCCCAGTAAAGCATATTGTATCGCTCATATGGTGAACTATAAGCATTCAGTACTTATGGTGAATAACATCAATAATGCTTGTTTTACTGATTTGTTTTTGTTTCACTGTTTCTTTAGATGGCTGGATTTCTTCAATCATTAGCCTATCGTTTTGGTGTAAATATATTATGCTATGACTATTCAGGTTATGGTGCTAGTTCTGGTCAACGCTTAGAAGAGAATTTGTACGCAGATGCTGATGCAGTATTGCATGAATTACGAGAACGTTTCAATGTACCACTCAATCGTGTTGTTCTATATGGACAAAGTATTGGAACTGCACCTACAGTTGAACTAGCAACAAAATACAAGGTATGTTTTTCACTTAAACCTGCTTTTTGTCCATTTTAAAAAGGAAGATAAACGGTGTATGGGTCGTATTCGTAAAGTATGAAGCTGTTACCCATTGGTTTAGGGACTCGACTTTCAACCAGTAGGTCATGGGTTCGATCATCGGTCAACCTATCCAGGTTTGAATAGGCAGATAATTTCATTAACTCTCATGCAATAGGCTGGTTTCGTTGTTTATGACAGTCAACAGTTGAAAATATGATTTTTTTATTTGAGTGAGTATAAGAATGTTCAATAGCGCTGCAGTTCTGTAGCTCATTGCTAGTACTTTTACTAATCTATGAATCACTTGTAATGTGTGACAACTTACGACAATAACTTTTTATCCAAACCAAGGTAAATGAAATGCTTTTTTAAACCTGCGGCTCAGTTGTCAGTAGTCGCATATTTAAATGAATGAACTACTGCTGTACTGATGATCAGTATAAAACAAGTTCCTATCTATCAAATAGCTGCGTACCAAAAACACCAGACAATCACTTCCTCATCTTCAACCTCATTTTTCTAACACTGCATATTTAGTTGGCGTTTGCAACCGTATGAATGGAACTTACTTAGTGGAAGCAAACTATGCTGCTGGTGCATTCAGTCTTTTTTTGCATCCTTAAAAGACTGAGCATTCCACTATGCTTGCCTCAGTTATCCTATTTATGATTCGTCTTGCTGATTTCCTTTCTGTTCTACCATGAAGTATATTTATTTATATAGATACATTACTGTATAAAGTTCTGATTTCTTCTTCTAGTCAATCGGTCTTGAATCAGTCTGGTTGGTTATACTAGTACATTTGAACTGGAAGAAATGTTTTTTGTTGTTCTCCTTATCTACTATCCACTTTTATTATTATTTATTTGGTAAGATGTCTCTGAAATGAGTTGCTTTCGACTTCATGTACCATCGGTGCTCTATTGTTGCTTATCACTTCAATTGCGAAGAAGTCTTTTTCGCGCATTTTGCAAGAATCTAGCTAATGTCAATTTAGTTTTTTCGCAGTGGTTCTCTTTCCAAAACTTGTAATCAGTATCTCCATTTCGGAAATTATGATGTTTTCATCACGGTGACTGATCATACTATTATTGAAATTCTGAACAAAGATTTCGATTGTCTAACTCGGTCGAACTTTTGTGTCTCGAATCAGATGGGAACGCATTTAGCAACCACGTGAACTTGTACGCAGTAGGCAATGAGCCATACCTATTGTGTGGCGACTAATGATACAAACTGGTTATGGAAACCTCGATAGGTGGAGCGGTGTTTGAACTCATGATTTTGTCGTTAGAAGTTCAGCTGGCTAAACCAATGAACCACAGCTCCACGTTTGTGTCTGTCTGCACTCGAATATATTTCGAATATTGTGAATGACAGGAGACGACAGTAGACTACACTAATTTAATCAATTTAATTTTAAAAATGGGTGACTTTAAAGGTTACCCTAGCAATAATCGAAGCGAGCAATTAGGTTTTTTCATTTCGGCTGGAAAAGATTTTCATAAAAATAGGGAAGTCTGATTGGCTATTTCATTTGTTGCTAGGATGGTCTTTAAAGTCACTCTTAAAGACGACCACGAATTACCATCTATTTCGTTTAGACATTTCAATGAGAAGCAAATCTGTTTCTCCACTCCAGTTCCGTGTTATTTTAGTGTGCATTTCTATTCATTCTGATGGTGCGTTGTAAATCGGCTTGAATCAATTAACAATTATACCGAAACTCTACTTTTTAAAAATCTTTTTCTGTTTTTGTTATCACAGAGCCTAAAGTTAATTCAAATATTTTGTTTTCTCTGAGAATTCGAATAGAGCGATAGGAAGTTCTGCAGCATACGCTATATTCAGTTGTGTTTGCTTTTAATTCATAGGTTTGATCTGGTTTGTTTGTATTAACCGTATATCAGTCAGCATCAACGTAGGACTTGACTACGTAACAGTCCATGTTGCCATACTTCATATGGACAATCAAGGTTGTGGACACAGATCATAGCTAGAGAAATAAGAAGGAAAGCAGAGTGATAGAAGGTTGTGAATAGAGAACGAGACAGACTGAAACAGTAGTGAAATTGTGCATAACCATTAAGACGGAGATAATTTGTGAATACATCTGCACCACTGAGGTTGATTCCAAACCATATCACCTAAAGTCTTTAACCAGTCGTTCTGGTTGCTACGTGAACTTCATTGGAAAAGTCTGGACGCACTACACGGCTGAGACCAACAACCATAGAACCCATGGAATTATTCCATTTTTAGTTTTTCTGGTCTTAACTTTTATCCAACGTATACTTTAGCGAATATAGTGCAACGGGACAGACTGTGACTAAGCATGGATAACCCATGTCCCAGTTATATAGGCTATCAATGGTTCACAACCTCACTAGCTGACTTTTGTTCCCACCGTAAAACTACGCTTGACTTCTGCATTACTGATGGAGTCACATCACGACATACGGCTTGCGCTACGAAGGCAGAAGCAGGCAAACACCTGAAGAGTTCTCATTTCCTCTACCTTTGATGGCCATTTTTCACAGCCATACAATAAAACAGAGCAAACTGCACCACAATAAACTTGATCCTAATCGACAATTGGATACCATGGTGGTGGCATAAATGACGTAAGTTGATGACAGAAAAGTAAGCCTTTTGAATCTGCTCAGAAGTTTTTTAAGCCGCTGACCCACCAGAGCTGACCCAACTTCATAGATAGGTGAAGTAGTCAACGCGCTTAACCACTTCACTCTTTATTGTTAGACAGGGCACTAGTGAAGACCAGTTTTGGAGCAACAATTTTCATTTGATCGGTGAGAAATGCATCCGAAACATTCTCAAACTGCACTCAAGGAGCCCAGAAAACTGCTTCTCGTCAGCGTTTTCACCTGACAGAACTATGTCATCTGCTTACCGTATATCCGATAGCATAAGTTAATCTAAGTAATATTTTATATGATCGGTTTTTCTCTGGGTTATTTCAGTACGTTATCTGTGTTTCACAGCATTTCGATATCGCTTTTCCACGTAAAACCAGTTTATCATGTAACAAATTGCGTATTTTTATTCTAAGAAAGTTACCATATCATTTCGATTTCCCAGTGACATGCATAATACATAATTGAACAAAATCTTTAAATTCAAAGGTAAAGAATATTTGCGTTTCCTATATGTACCTGTTACTGTTGATAAACTTCTTATAGTAAAAGCACCTCAGAAGCTCCTTGAATGTGGTTTTAGAAAAAACTCAAAAGTCTTAGCATGTGGCGTTTGAGGGTTGGATCACTTAAATTTTCAGATTACTTGATGATTTTTTGGGTTTGTTGAAAAAACTATTGAGAATACTGTCTGACTCCAGAATGTCAGTGTAACTGATTTCTCTGCTGACAGAAGTGAATTTTCATCACATCAAGAAGAACAAGGTTTGTAGAATAAATTGAGTTCATATTTATTTAACATCTTCTACTCAGCTGAAAACAGTCTAGAATAAACACAGAATTAGCATGGGATAAAATGAAAAACATACTCTTGAGTTGGAACACAGTAGTAACCATGTACATCACGATATACAGGTACAACGGGTAAAACTCAGTTAACAAATGTCAGCAATGCGAATAATGGTGATAGAGTTTGCTTATTGATAGGCAATTAGGAGGAAGTTTTAACAGTGAGTGTGGGGAATAGTCGGAATGATAAAATAACCACCATCACTGTATAGTAACAATAACAAGATGATTATCATAATAATAATAGACTTTCCACACAGAAACAAACAAATGAACCCTATATTACATAAGATATATAAGACAGGTAATAAAAACGTAAAAGAAATGATATAGGAGGAAAACTTGGGCACTGTGTTAGTTTGTAATTTCCTTTTAGCGTGTTTATTAGAAGGGAAACAAGGAAACAATATCATTTGGTGGATGACGTTTCGGACATAATTTATTGCCCATATTCACATCAAGCCTTGATATGAATATGGACAAAAAATTATGTCCAAAAAGTTATCCAGTAAATGATACTGTTTCCTTGTGTGACATTTCTAATGAAAAATGATGAATAGGAAGACATAAAATAGGAAATACAATAGTGAAGACAAAATATAGTTACCGAAGTTATGCTAGATTAAGCACAAGTCAAGTTCAAAGCATTTGGTTACTATTGTTTTTATAAAACGAAGTAAAGTAGAGAATCGTTGCTGAATTCTTATTTTAAATGCTGTAGATATATCAAAGCTCTATCCTCACTCGACTAATTGGGGTATGATTTAACTTGTCAGCGATTTCGAACCGTGTAATCCCAGGCTCTTTGAAAAATGTTCATAAAAACAAACGCATGACCATCTTTCTGTCCTTCCGATATACTTGTTGTGACAAATGCATGCGAATTCGTACTGTTGGAGATGACGTTGGATGAGCACATGTCTATTTTGGAGTGATATATGGTGTGGCTAATGCTATATAAAGCAACCAGTTTCTCTAAATACATAATTCCTCAATATGTACACATAAAAACCTCGCCTGGTTTACTAGTTCACTAATTTGCTAACCCGTCCTAAGCCCAGAAAACGGGAAAGGTTGAGCATAGGGCCAGCAACCCCATCACGTGAAACTAATCCAACTGCTAAAGAAACTTTAAAGCACCAATAAACAAATAAATAAATGAAAATAAACATATTCCTTGCCAGAATCAAGGAGACGAAATGACGCCAGTTGGATGAAGCCTTAGGGAAGCCAATTGACCAATGTGTCTTCTCTCTCTCGATGAAAGCGAAAGTAAACGTGGGGATATGGAATGTCCGCACTATGGTTGAACCTAGCAAGGCTGCCCAGATTGTGAAAGAGATGAGAAGATATAGCATACAAGTGCTAGGATAGGAATCTGCGAGAGCAGATGGAATGGAAGTCGACTCTCCAAACTGTCAACTAGAGAGTCACTCATCTACTCCGATAGTGTCACCCAGACGACAACCACGA